TTTGTTTGTTTTTGATCAATGAGAACTATACTATTCATCTAAAGCAAGAGTATTCCATTTTTAGCGCGAAGAACAAAATAAATTAAAACGCAAGAGCTAGCAGGTTAGTCTGTGGCCCACGTCTGGTCTGGCCCACACACTCACTTCTTTTCCCATCCGGCTAGGGGAAGGTAGGGTATATTGTGCGAATTTCCTCAGGAGTTTGAGGAGTCCTAGGTACTGGGGTCCATACCTACAATAGCCCAAAGAGACTCAAGCCCAGCTTGAAAGTGGAAAAGAGTTCTAATAAGGGTTACTTACAGAGCACTGCATGCCTGGTCCATATCTCCGGAACCCCCTCCCCTGAGCCACCAACCCCCACCTACCAATTCTCCCTTTATGTGGCTCTAGGTCCGCAGCAGCAGTGTGGACTAGAGCTCCACCTAAGGGCAGAACAGCAGCAACTGCAGGCCAGTGAGGATACAGAGCCTGGGGGCCTGTTTATGTGAGCTCAGTCCTTGCTCTATGGTGGGGTTCTGACCCTGGCAGACACTGTCCCATCATGGGAAGGAGGGCTTGTGCTGCAAGCAGATTGATGAGAGTAACTCTGGCTAGGCGTCACTGGACCCCTAGTTGCAGTTCATAGTGCCTTTGTTACAATATGAATAACTAAGAATACCCTGAAATGATGTTTTGCATATGCTTTTTTCTTTTTTTTTCTTTGCCAGTCCTGGGGCTTGAACTCAGGGCCTGGGCTTTGTCTCTGAGCTTCTTTTCTCAAGGCTAGCCCTTTACCACTTGAGCCACAGTGCCAGTTCTGGCCTTTTCTGTTTATGTGGTACTGAGGAATCGAACCCAGGGCTTCCTGCATGCTAGGCAAGCACTCTACCACCCAGCCACATTCTCAGCCCTGCACATACTTTTTGTATGTGTGTGCCAGGACTGGGGCTTGAACTCAGGGTCTCCTACTCTTGCTTAGCCTTTTTGTTCAAGGATAGTGCTCTACCACTTGAGCTGCTTCTTCTCTGCTTCTGGCTTTTTGATGGTTTATTGGAGATAAGAGTGTCACATACTGTGTGTGTGTGTGTGTGTGTGTGTGTGTGTGCACGTGTGTGCGCGTGGGCATGCACACATGCCAGATCTAGGGCTTGAGCTCAAAGCCTGGGCACCATCCCTGAGCTTTTGTGCTCAAAGCTGGTGCTTTACCACTTGAGTTCCTGGGGGGGGGGGGGGAGGGTTGTTTTGTTTTGTTTTTTGCTGGTCTTGGGGCCTGATCTCTGAGCCTGGGCGCTGTCCCTCAGCTCTTCAGCTCAAGGCTAGCTCTCTACCACTTGAGCCACAACGCCACTTCCGGCCTTTTCTGCTTATGTGGTACTGAGGAATCGAACCCAGGGCCTCATACATGCAAGGCAAGCACTCTACCACTGAGCCACCTTCCCAGCCCCTGGTTTTGTTTTTGTTGTTGTTGTTGTTATTGTTCATTTGTTTGGTAGTTAATTGGAGATAAGAGTCTCCTGGACTTTCTTGCCGGGGCTGGCTTTGAACTGTGATCCTCAGACTTCAGTAGGGAGATTATAGGCGTGAGCCACCAGCGCACACAGTTCACATTTACATTTGCCCAGGATTTGAATCCACACATTAGTCTACTATAGTCATAGACGTGTCCTATGCTGTACTTGATAGGTATTTAATTCTCCTTGTCAAGGGTAGTTTTGACAAGGATTCTCCCTTGCCTGCTGGCCTCAGAAATTAACATCCATGTCTCCTCTCCCTCAAAGCTGTAACAATGAATATCATCTACACAGAGCAGAGAAAAATGGGAATGTCACCCCCAATCACAGAGGAGAAACCTAAGGCAAAAAGAAAAGCCTTGTGATCACCAATGGAAGAACAGTGGTATAAGTTACAAAAGCTGCTGAGACACATTTCCATTCTCTAAAGCAGATACACAAGAAGCCTTTGCATCAGGCCTTATTTACGGCCTCAAAGCCGAGGCAAGCATGTCACCTTGTAAAATGCAGAGGAATGGCATGTATCCATACTAATGTCAACGTCTTCCAACTCCCCTCGCTGAGGTGTAGTGAGGATAAATGAGAGACAGGGAGGAAGAGGTCCAGAGGCCAAGGGCAGTCACCAGACACATGCCTGCCCGTGGCAGCAGGCAGCTGTCTTGGCTCCAGGGTATGAGGCTGGGGCTGAGCAGCCTCCTAGGGAGGTAAGGTAACAAATGCTCATAATTAGAGCGAATTATCTTCCTTGGAAAATAAGCAAATTATTTTCCAATTTAATGAATAAAGACACTTCTAATTAGCTCCAGGAGAGAGATCTGCTTTCAAATTTCAGTAGTTTAAACTCTGTGGGTTGTGTGTTAGTGTTTTTTTTTTTATGTTCCACCTTCCTGGTTTATTTTACTGTCTTCATATGAGGGAATTTTAGGATATGAGATACAAACACTGAGATGATTCAGATAAACGATGTGTGTGTGTGTGTGTGTGTGTGTGCATGTGTGCACGCGCCTGGATCAAGGCTTTCACTTAGAACTTGAGTGCTGTCCCTTAGCTTTTTTTGCTCAAGGCTAGTGCTGTACAACTTGAAGCCATAGCTCCACATGTGGCTCTTTTTATTGAGGTTAATTGGAGATAAGAGTCTTACAGACTTTTCTGCACGGCTGTTTTTGAACCTGGACCCTCAGATCTTAGCCTCCCGAATAGCTAGGATTACAAGCGTAAACCATCCGTGTACGGCTGAACACTCATTTCAAACAAAACATCTGGGGTAACTGGCCCTCTGAGAGATCCTGTGCCTTACCCAAGGGACCACAGCTGCTCCTGTCCCCTGGGACTGGATCCCTAGCCGTTGGCATCACCAACAAAGGAAGGGCCTTGCCAGATTGGTGCCACTGCTTGGACTGGCTCTGCTTCCCTCCTGCGCCCTCCCCTCCCGGCAGCTCAGGCCCCACCATCTCTCACCTGCCCCAGTGCTGCTCCTGCCGGGGAGGTAACCTGGTCTAGCCCCTCTCAATCCCTTCCACTTGTGCGTGGGGACTATAGATGTGTTGTCTGTAACCAGCCTCTGGGTCTACTCTGAATCCTCAGGCCGACAGCCAGAGTGGGGTTGATTGGAATGGGAGAGCTGTTTTCTAGCTCCTGCTCTAAAGCATCGGGAATCACAAGGACTTCATCAACCAGATCTCCCGAGCCCTCGACTTTGGCTCTTCGGGTTGGTTGGTTTTGTTTGTGTGTTTAAATTAATAAGCTTTCACATTAGAGCAAGTTTTAAACCTACTGCACATCACAGGGGCATATTGGCTTGGGTTCTTTCTCACCCTTAAACCCTAGGCTGCTTGCCGTGTGTGTGTGTGTGTGTGTGTGTGTGTGTGTGTGTGTGTGTGTGTGTGTGTGTGTGTGTGTGTGTGTGTGTGTGTGTGTTGAGCCAGCCAAATCTTCAGTTCTTTTTTTGCCCCCCAAAAATAGTTTTGGTGCCAGTACCAGGGGTTAAACTCAGGGCCCTGGATTCTTGGCTTGGCTTTTTTTTGTTTTTTAATTCAAGTCTGGTGCTCTTTCACTTGAACCACAGCTCTACTTCCAGTTCTGTGTTTTAAGGCGGAAAAGAACACAGGCGCATCCGTGCATGTATGCTCACACACGCACACACACACACACACACACACATACACACAATCCATTGTAAGTGATTGTCACTAGATCACATGAAGTCAATTTCACATCCATTCCTTCTGGCATCCTGCTCGATCCGTGAGTCTAACACACCCCCCACCCCCCTGGCAAATAGCTCTGACTACTCAGCCGGGATTAGCCCTGCCCGCCCTCTCTCTGCTCTGCCTCCCAGAACCCACCCCGTGTTCCTGGGGTCTGCCATTCTGATTAGCTGGTTCTGGGTCAGAAGGAGGAAGTCCGTCTCCTGTTGAGCAGACGGAGAGCTCAGGTCCCTGCCTTGGGAGACTCAGTCCCCACTACCTGCCTTTCAGTAAGCTGCCTTCTGCTCCTGACTCTGAGTGTTCTCTGCTCATAGGCCACGTGCTGTAGCATTCTCACAAATGGCTACCTGAGCTTGTCATTGGGCAGCTTAGAAGATACAGTGAGAGTAACAGTATGCAGTGACTCCATTTTATATTGTGTGTGTGTGTGTGTGTGTGTGTGTGTGTGTGTGTGTGTGTGTGTGTGTGTGTGTGTTATGTGCTAGTACCGGGGCTTAAACTCAGGGCCTGAACATTGACCCTTACCTTTTTCCCACTCAAGGCTGGTGCTCTACCATTTGAGTCACACCTCCACTTCCAGCATTCTGATGGCTAATTAGAGATAAGGGTCTCTTGGATTTGTCTACCCGGGCTGGCTTCCATCCATGAACCTCAAATCTCAGCCTCCTGGTTTTAGAACTTAAAACCAAGGCACTGTGGTTCAACTCCTCCATGACAGTGACGTTAAACAAGACTCCCTGCAGAATCAAGGTCTCCCTTCAAATGCTAGTGTTCAGATTTGCCAAGGAAAACAACAATTCTCTCTCAATTTGCCCATTTTCTATAACAGGGGTGATTGCTGCTAGTTCACATCTGTAGCATCACCTGTGTGGGAAGTTTGGGGGTTCCACGCCCCCTGCCTTCGTTTGGCACCCATTAAAGTTTATGTGTATGCACACAGCGGAAGGCATTTTTGTGGAAAGCATTTTGTCTAATTCCAAACAATTTAATAGAAATGTAATTCAACGGGGAGAATCGTGGTCCGTCAGCCCTTTCAGAGTGTAGATAATGTTGCAGATTAAAAGCCAAAGCTGTGTTCATTATAGTCAAATAACATGAGTGTGTGAATTACCATTTTCTTTGCCGATGGTCTATTTCAAAAGTGGGCCATTTTTCCCATTATAATAATAGGCTACATTTTCTTAAAATTATTTGATTATGATTGGTCCTGTCTATTCAGTTTGCAAATAAAAAAGCTTTTGCAGCACTCAACTCCCTGTTCCCAAACAGCCTGAAGCTCTGATTCTGTTTTGAACTGCTACAGGTCAGACCCTGAGGAAGCTGGAAAGAATCCGATCCTGCTCCCAGGAAAGAAAAGAGGTAACAGACTTGGGGGGCGGGAAGCAACTCTGTTTGAAAGGACTTGAGGGGTTCAGCTTGGTGAATAGGCATTCCAGGACTTCCTTTTTTCCCCTCTCAGTCCAGAAGAGAACTGACAACCGACCTGCCAGCCAGTGTCACTTGTAAATAACATTCTCTTACAGAGTGGATAAGTTAGCTTTGTGTCCCTGTGTCTTGAACCAGCATCCAGGCATTCAGACCCTTGCTTTCTGGAGCCATTTAGCCTTCCTGGGGCTTCCACCTGCAGATGGGCCAGGACCAGCTGCTGTGATCTGGGCCCCTGGTAACATCTGCAGTTGACTGGTGTCACCTAGGGCTGGCTGGGGGGTTAGCCGGGGCGCCCCGCTTCTCCATGGGCGAGCTCAGCCTCCAGCAGGAAAGGCAGTTTCGCCCAGGCTGTGTTCCAGCATCCAAGAGTAGGAGACAGACAGCTGCAGGTCCATAGCTTCCATAGTGTCCCTCCCGCCTCAAGTGAAGGGGCATCTGTCAAGCTGGGGCCTGGGGCCTCAATGCAAGCCATCATCAGGGCCAGCCCATGCTCAGGGGATGGAGAAAATGAACAATTAAAAAAAAAAAAAAAGAGGAGCTAGGAAGGTGGCTTAGTGGTAGAGTGCTTGCCTAGCATGCATGAAGCCCTGGGTTCGATTCCTCAGTACCACGTAAGCAAAGGCCGGAGTGATGCTGTGTCTCAAGTAGTAGAGTGTTAGCCCTGAGCAAAAGAAGCTCAGGGGACAGTGCTCAGGCCCTGAGTTCAAGCCCCAGGACTGGCCAAAATAAAAAGAAGAAGAAAGAAAACAATGGGTGGGGTTGGAGGGCAGTAGGCAGGACTTGTTTTGGAGAAGGCTTTTTGTTTCTTGGTTGTTTTTTGGGTTTTGTGGCAATAGGGACTTATAGGTAAGGCTGGCCCCGAACTTGCATTCCCCCTGCCTCCACCTCCTGAGGGCTGGAGTGGCCGGTGTGTGCCACCATGCCCAGTACAAGACCTCACAGAGTCTGTGTGTGTGTGTGTGTGTGTGTGTGTGCGTGTGTGTGCATGTGCTAGTCCTATGCCCAGTACAAGACCTCACAGTGTGTGTGTGTGTGTGTGTGCATGTGCTAGTCCTATGCCCAGTACAAGACCTCACAGAGTCTGTGTGTGTGTATGTGTGTGTGTGCGCGCATGTGCTAGTCCTATGCCCAGTACAAGACCTCACAGTGTGTGTGTGTGTATGTGTGTGTGTGTGTGTGCTAGTCCTATGCCCAGTACAAGACCTCACAGTGTGTGTGTGTGTGTGTGTGTGTGTGCTAGTCCTATGCCCAGTACAAGACCTCTCAGTGTGTGTGTGTGTGTGTGTGTGTGTGTGTGCTAGTCCTATGCCCAGTACAAGACCTCTCAGTGTGTGTGTGTGTGTGTGTGTGTGTGTGCTAGTCCTATGCCCAGTACAAGACCTCACAGTGTGTGTGTGTGTGTGTGTGTGTGTGTGTGCTAGTCCTATGCCCAGTACAAGACCTCACAGAGTGTGTGTGTGTGTGTGTGTGCATGTGCTAGTCCTATGCCCAGTACAAGACCTCACAGAATGTGTGTGTGTGTGTGTGTGTGCTAGTCCTATGCCCAGTACAAGACCTCACAGAATGTGTGTGTGTGTGTGTGTGTGTGTGTGCATGTGCTAGTCCTATGCCCAGTACAAGACCTCACAGTGTGTGTGTGTGTGTGTGTGTGTGTGTGTGTGTGTGTGTGCTAGTCCTACGCCCAGTACAAGACCTCACAGTGTGTGTGTGTGTGTGTGTGTGTGTGTGTGTGTGTGTGCTAGTCCTATGCCCAGTACAAGACCTCTCAGTGTGTGTGTGTGTGTGTGTGTATGTGCTAGTCCTATGCCCAGTACAAGACCTCACAGTGTGTGTGTGTGTGTGTGTGTGTGTGTGTGTGTGTGTGTGTGTGTGTGTTGCCCTAGTCCTAGGGCTTGAATTTAGAGCTTGGGCACTGTCCCTTAGCTTTTTTTCCCTTAGCTTTTTTTCACTCAAGGCTGGATACTACCACTTAAGCCACAGCTCCACTTCCGGATTTTTGCTAGTTAATTGGAGATACGAACCTCTTAGAAGCTGGGTGCTGGTGGCTCACTCCTGTAATCCTAGCTACCCAGGAGGCTGATATCTGAGGATCGCAGTTAAAAACCAGCCCAGACAGGAAAGTCTGTGAGACCCTTATCTCCAAGTAACTACCAGAAAACTGGAAGTGGCGCTATGGCTCAAGTGGTAGAGAGCTCGCCTTGAGCTGAAGAGCTTAGGGACAGAGTTCAAGCCCAGAGTTCAAGCCCTACGACTGAGGAAAAAAAAAATCTCATGGACTTTCCTGCTTGGGCTGGCTTTGAACCTTGATCCTCAGGTCTCAGCTTCCTGAGTAGGTAGGATTACAGGTGTACGCCACCAGCACCTGGCTGGCCTCACTTCTTGATGGGCGAGAACAGCTTCAAAATGCTGTAGCCATTCTTGAAACCTACTTCATGGTGAACATTGATCTGTGCTGAGCACCAAGGGGAGAGCAAGGCCAGGTGTTCCGGGGACTGCAAGGCTGGGAGAGCTCTGGGTGCTATAAATCATTGGGACAGCATGAGAAGTGCCCTTACAGATGGACTCAGGAAGCAAGGTGAAGGTCAGTCACTCCACTGGCAGTATCAAGAGTAACGTTACAAGCCAGGTGCATGGTGGTGCATGCCTGTAATCCCAGCAATCAGAAGACCAAGGTAAGAGCTCATGAATTTGAGGCTAATCTGGGCTACATAGGGAGACCAGTTGAAAACAAAGAAAAAAAAAAGGGAAAGGGGGGGGGGTAGGGAGGAGAGAAGGAAGGTAGAAAAAGAATGAGGGGGGCTGGGGATGTGGCTCAGTGGTAGACTGCTTACCTAGCGTGCATGAAGCCCTGGGTTCCATTCCTCAGTACCACAGACAGAGAAAAAGCTGCAAGTGGCGCTGTGGCTCAAGTGGTAGAGCGCTAGCTTTGAGCGCAGGGAGGCTGAGGGACAGAGCCTAGGGCTCTAGTTCAAGCTCTAGGACTGGAAAAAAAAAAAAAAGACAAAGAAAAAAAAGAGGAAAGAAAATGAAGAAGGAAGGAGCTGGTTAGGGCAGGTGTCCTTTGAAGAACGAGGAGTCACTTTTTCTAGGCCAAGAAAACAGCTTGTTCTCAGTGGGAGAGCCGAGAAGTGGCAGCGGAGGCCAGAGGTGACCACGGGGTCCTCTGACCACGCCCCACCCCCAGGGAGGTTAATGTGGAGTCTTAACTGGGTAGCGGGTGGGGGCTGGCGAATGAAAGCACATGGCTCCTAGCAGGTGCCCACCAGTGCATCACGGCTTCCACACTGACGCAGTGAATTGCCAAGTGACAAAGGGCACTTCCCAGGCCAGGCTGGGCCAGATGGCCACATGACTGCCCTCTCTCTCCCATCCCTTAGCTCATTTCCTGGAGGGGCTCTCTGCAGCTCGGCTTAGAGCATGGGGGGGCAGTGCTCTGCTGGGCCTGGGTGCTGGGCTGTGATGGTCACCCTGTCCTCTAGTCTCCTTTCTCAGCTGGACACACAGCCAGTTTGAATTTCCTCCTGTTTCCACCCATCTACCTAGGATGAAGGCTGGCATGCTGTGGCATGCTTGGCTCGGGTGGTCTGAGGGGGCAGACTAGGTGGAGATGGCAGTTCCTTCTAGAAGGGACTTTTTTTTTTTTGGTCAGTCATGGGGCTTGGGCGCTGCACCTCAGCTCTTCAGCACAAGAGAAGTGTTCTACCACTTGAGCTACAGCGCCACTTCCGGTTTTCTGGTGGTTTATTGGCGAGAAGAGTCTCATAGGCTTTCCTGCCCGACTGGCTTTGAACCTCGATCCTCAGATCTCAGCCTCCTGAGTAGCTAGGATTACATGTGTGAGCTACCAGTGCCGGGCTAGAAGGGACTTTTCTGGAGGCAAGAGCAGGGGTCTGTCTTCCTGTACGGAGGTAGGGGACTGGAGTAAGGGTGAGCCCAGGCCTTCTTCCTGGGATAAGGACCAAGGGCAGAGAGAAGCATCCAGGCCTGGACCCCGTTGTGTCCACCCACCCCAAGCTAGGACACAAAATTGCAGCATCCCACCTACCCATGTTCAAAAGTTAACTCAGAAATAAAATAAATTCCCCAGGCACTGGTGGTGGCTCATGGCTATAATTCTCACTACTTAGGCTGAGATCTGGAAGATTGTGGGTTTGTTTTTGTTTTTGCCAGTCCTGGAGCTTTAACTCAGAGCCTGGGCACTGTCCCTGAGCTTCGTTTGCTCAAGGCTAGCACTCTACTACTTGAGCCACAGTGCTACTTCCGGCTTTTTCTGTGTATGTGGTACTGAGGAATGGAACCCAGGGCTTCATGCATGCTAGGCAAGCACTCTGCCAGTAGGCCGCATTCCCAACTCCAAGATTGAAGCCAGCCTGGGCAGCAAAGTCCATGAGATTCTATCTCCAAAACATCCTGCAAAAAACCTGGTTGGAGGCATGTTTTAAATGGTAGAGTGCCAGCCATGAACAAGCAATTTGAGTAAATGCACACCTTGAATTTAAACCCTAATACTGGCATAAAAAAAAGAAAGAAAGAAGGAGGGAGAGAAAGAGAAAAAAGGAAGAAAGGAAATAAGGAAGGAAAGAAAGACAATAATAAACCATAAAGCAAGGTTATGAAGAAGGAGTTAAGCGCATGCTCTCTCTCCCTCTCTCTCTCTCCCTCCCTGTCTCTCTGTCTCTGTTTTTCTCTCTCTCTGTCTCTGTGTCTGTCTCTGTCTGTCTCTGTTTCTCTCTCTCTCTCTCTCTCACTTGCTGGCTGGCTCTCCTTGACAACACGACTCCTAATTTCCACATTGCCAGCTACTCCCCTAGTGCCAGTTGCCTGAGAGCATTTCAGATCATTCCTCTTCTAAAAAGTGCTTGGAGCAGGAAAACAAAGGGCAAAGCTGTTTATCTCCATACCCAGGGTTAATCCTGAAAGATGTTTAAGAT